GTCCTTGTAACAACCTATTATGGACTTGAAAACTTATGTCCCCTCTCAGTCTTCTCTTCTCCAGACTAAACAAACCCAATGTTTTCAATCTTCCCTCATATATCATGTTTTCTAGACCTTTAATAATTTTTGTTGCTCTTCTCTGTACTTCCTCCAATTTGTCCACATCTTTCCTGAAATGTGGTGCCCAGAACTGGACACAATACTCCAGCTGAGGCCTAATCAGCACGGAGTAGAGTGGAAGAATTACTTCTCATGTCTTATTTACAACACTCCTGCTAATACATCCCAGAATGATGTTCGCTTTTTTTTTTTTTTTTTGGGGGGGGGGGCACAACAGTGTTCACCGTTGACTAATATTTAGCTTGTGGTCCGCTATGACCCCCAGATCCCTTTCCACAGTACTCCTTCGTAGGCAGTTATTTCCCATTTTGTATGTGTGCAACTGATTGTTCCTTCCTAAGTGGAGTTCTTTGCAACTGTCCTTATTGAATTTCATCCTATTTCCTTCATATCACTTCTCCAGTTTGTCCAGGTCACTTTGAGTTATAATCCTATTCGCCAAAGCACTTGCAACCCTTCCCAGCTTGGTATCATCCACAAAACTTTAAGTGTTCTCTCTATGCTATTATTGAAATCATGAAGAAGATATTAAACAGAACCGGACCCAGAACTGGTCCCTGTGGGACCTCACTTGATATGCCCTTCCAGCTTCACTGTGAAGGTCTGATAACTACTCTCTGTGAATGGTTTTCCAACCAGTTATGCACCCGCTTTATAGTAATTTCGCCTCGGTTGTATTTCCCAATTTGTTTATGCGAAGGTCATGTGAGACAGTATCTAAAGACTTACTAAAGTCAAGATATCACAAATACCACTTCCCTCATCCACAAAGCTTGTTATCCTGTAAAAGAAAACTATTAGGTTGGTTTGCCATAATTTGTTCTTGACAAATCCATGCTGCCGGTTACTTATCACTCTATTATCTTCTAGCTGTCTGCAAAGTGATTGCTTAATTATTTACTCCATTATCTTTCTGGGTAAAGAAGTTCATCTGACTGGTCTGTAATTCCTCAGGTTGTTCTTATTTCCTGTATTTGCCCTTTTCCAGTCCTCTGGAATCTCTCCTGTCTTCCGTAACTTTTCAAAGATAATCGCTAACGGCTCAAATATCTCCTCAGTCAGCTCCTTGAGTATTCTAGGATGTATTTCATCAGGCTCTGGCGACTTGAAGACATCTAACTTGTCTAAGTAATTTTTAACTTGTTCTTTCCCTATTTTAGCCTCTGATGATACCTCATTTTCACTGGCATTCACAATGTTAGATGTCCAATCGCTAACCAACCTTTTTGGTGAAAAAAACAAAAATGTCATTTAGCACTTCTGCCATTTCCACATTTTCTGTTTCCCTTTTCATTGAGTAATGGGCCTGCTCTGTCCTTGGTTTTCCTCTTGCTTTTAATGTATTGTACAATGATTTCTTGTTATCCTTTATGTCTCTAGCTTGTTTAATCTCATTTTGTGCCTTGGCCTTTCTAATTTTGTCCCTACATACTTGCATTATTTGTTTTTATTCTGATTTTGTAATCTGACCTTGTTTCCACTTTTTGTAGGACTCTTTTTGAGTTTCAGATCATTGAAGATCTCCTGGCTAAGCCAGGGTGGTCTCTTGCCAGACTTCCTTTTCTACGCAGTGAGACATTGCTAAGGGCACAAGAGCAAACTGTCTCTCTGAAAAGGGCCAACTCTCTCAAACTGTTTTCCCCTTGAACTTGCTTCCCATGCAATCTTAACTACCAACTCCAAGTTTGCAAAAGTCTGCCTTCTTGAAATCCATTATCTTTATTGTGCTGTTTTCCCTCCTACCATTCCTTAGAATCATGAAGTCTACCATTTCATAATCTGCTAAACTGCCTTCCACTTTCAAATTCTCAACCAGTTCCTCCCTATTTGTCAAAATCAAATCTAGAACAATCTCTCCCCTTGTTGCTTTCTCCATCTTCTGAAATAAAAAGTTACCTCCAATACATTCCAAGAACTTGGACAATCTGTGCCCTGCTGTATTATGTTCCCAACAGATGTCTGGGTAGTTGAAGTCCCCCATCACCACCAAGTCCTGTGCTTTGGATGATTTTGTTAGTTGTTTTTAAAAATCCTCATTTACCACAAGTAGGTATATGGGACAAAGTTTCACTACATCGTATGGTAATTAAAGAAAGCCAAGGGTAAACAAAACAAAAAAGTCTCAGAAGCCAACACAAACCCCATTAAATTGATTCCAAGGGTCATCTGGCTCTTTGGTTGTGAAGTAGCCAGACCATGTTAATTAAATCAGACTCTAAATAGTCACAAGTTTTTAAAGTTCTCCAGAAAATAGGATTAGGATTTAAATTTTTGCTGTCCAGTAGCAGTTTATCATTTCCATATACAAATATTGTGCTTTCCAAGTTTTATTTAAAAAAAAATACATTTAGAAAGTGCACTTTTCTTAAAGGTTTCAGAGGGGTAGCCATGTTAGTCTGTATCAGCAAAAACTAGGAGTCCTTGTGGCACCTTGAAGACTAAAAATGTATTTGGGCATAAGCTTTCATGGGCTAAAACCCACTTCATCAGATGCATGGAGTGAAAAATACAGTAAGCAGAACATATATTATAGCACATGAAAAGATGGGAGTTGCCTTACCAACTGGGGGGGGGTGGGGAGGGGGTCAGTGCCATTTAAAGTAACTAGTGCCATTTTATAATTTGTGAAAGGTTCCAATCCATTTCTTGTTCCAAAGTTTAAATGAAACTTGCATTAGACCCCCAGAAGATTAAGTGTATTTTGCTGATGATTGTCTGCAATGTCAACTACACCTCTACCCAGATATAATGCGACCCGATATAACGCAGGTTTGCGTGCAACGCAGTAAAGCTCCGACATGCTGCTCTGAGCAGCGTGTTAAGGGTGCCAGGCCGGGGGGGTTGGGTAAGGGGCAAAGGGTCTCGGGGGCGGTCAGGGGCTCTCCTCCACTCCCGGTCTGGGAGGCAGGAACTGTGGGGGGGCACTTTTGGGGGCCCCGTAGTCCCAGAGTGGCCCAGGGGATTAGCGGGGGGCCGGGAGCAGCCCGCTCCGCTTCCCTCAGCCCAGCCCCAGCTATGTTGCTTGGGGGAGGGGGCTTGGGAGAAGGGAAACCCCCCTGCACTCACCGGCAGAAGCAGAGTAGCCTGGCCCCAGCCCTCTCCACTCCACCAGCTCCCAGCCACAGTGCTCTGCTTCCCGCCGCCGGTGAGTACAGGGGGCATCCTTTCCCCAACCCCCGCACTCACTAGCGGTGGGAAGCGGAGCACCACGGATGGGAGGTAGCAGGGTGGAGCAGGCTGGGGCCATGTTGCTCTGCTTCCCGCCACTGCCGGTGAGTGCCTGTCAGGGGGCAGGGGTGTGGATAGGGATCGGAGCAGTCAGGGGACAGGGGGGTTGAGTAGGGGGTCTCTGGAGGGGGCGGTCAGGGAACAAGGAACGGGGGGGGGGGGCAAAGCAAGTTCGATATAACACTGTCTCACTTATAACGCGGTGAGATATTTTTGTCTCCTGAGGACTGAGTTATATTGGGGTAGAGGTTTTTAAGGAACAGAAATTGATGCTATAAGTTAAGGTTTAGCTTTTGCAAAAATCCAAACAAGTAAAAGGATACTTTTTTTTTTTCTCCTTGAAAGTGGTCCAGTAAGGTCTGCATTCCTCAGCAACAAAATGGTTCAAACCCCATATCTGATAATGATGCATCTCACAGCAATTTAGATATACAATATAGGTTAACTATTGGAAAACTGAGGAATCAGGTTCTGAACTGAAATACTAAAGAAGAATACATCCTCTGCTCTCCCCTCTCTACTGGAACTCTGCCTTCCTCCCAGCAGCCACTCTTTGGGTATACCACAAATAAAAGGTACATTCTTAACTTTGGTTAGCTAACTCTCATTAATGAACTTGGGTTAAAATAGCAGTAAGACACAGCAACTCTGCTTTTAACTTGAGTTAGCAGCTTAAATTCAACCCCAGACTTCCCTATAGGCTTTAATTTGAGCTGTTAACCAAATTAAAACCTAATTTGCCATGTCTTCAATGCTATTTTAATCCGAGCAAGCTAACCTGAGTTAATACTTTTTTGCAGCATTGACAGACCCTTAGGAACAAAACAAGATCTCCTTCACCCTTCAATCCCAAGCTCTGGAACCTAACCCTTTCCCACAGCAAGCCAATTCACAGCGTCTTTCTTATCTGCCTTCCCATTAAACTTGCTGCCGATGTCCATGTAAATTTTTCCCTCACCTTCGTTCCCAAAATGACTCACGTCTCCTGTTAGTTTCATAAAGTCAAGCTGGGATCTGGCAGTAAACAAAGCAGATCACTGCCAGGATGCACAAGCTGAAGGAGAGGGGATGAAATCAGTCCCAGCAAACCCTACTTTCTAGCAGCAGAAAAACACCTACCTCTTGGTTTAATCTGGATGTTCAATAGCTACCTCAAAATCCTTTAAACATAGACAGGCCTCATGTCTCATCTTTCTAGAAATTAACTTACCTCTTAAAAGTAATGATAATAAACACTGCTTTGGACAAACTTACCCCTCTAGTTTCTTTATAAAACTTTGAAGAGACTGACTTATCCACTGACCCACTTGCCAATAATAAATAGAAAACGCCTAAGTCAAATGAATGGCCCTACATGAGAGGGCCTTCCAAAGACAGAGAAAGAAAGATAATCTTGCCCCCTCAAGAGAGGCAAGATGCTTCCATTAATTCCAATCAGCGTTCACTCTGAAGCCTCTCCGACTGTGTCCACAGCAGGGATTTTGTACCTAGGGAGGATTTTTGCTACCGTTACCACACTGTCGCTTACGATCGGTGGCGCTCTAGCAGTTGCATAGACACGACACTTTATAAGTGTGCACACAATACAAGTATGATTTTACTAATACTAAAAACAAATGTACTTATTTTATACTCGTGTGCATGCTTACCAGACTGAAGATGCCAGGAAGACATTAGTGCTGTTTGCAAGGAACCCTACAGGAGGCTCTGCAAGCATCAAGGAAGACAGAACAGACCCACCAAAGCAGTAAAGCATTGCACTAAACCAACATGCAATCGGACTCTGGCGTGACACTTCCACTGCTCCTGAAATAAAACAAAGTAAAAAGGCAACCTGAAAATGACATTTGTAAAAGACAAGTAAGAAGGTATCAAACATACCAAATTTTAAAACTTTTTTAAAATATCAGTAACATTCAAATAATTTTGACACGGGCTTGGTTTGTTTGATAAGCTTACACATCATTGAAGATAAGCACTGAATAGCAGGTAATATTATGAACGATGCTGCAAAATTCTACACATCAATCCCCTCCAAAAGGCAAACCTGCTAAGGAAAGATCAGGAAAAGAGAAACACCTGTGCATGAGACCTTGATTGTCAAAATATTGCTATGAAACCTACCAGCAATAACAAAGCTCTGTACTGTACTCAGCAGTGCCTTTCACAAGAAGATCCCAAAGCACTTTACAAGGGGTAGTATCTTCACCGTGCAAATGAAACAAAGTTGAGACACTTACAGTAACACTGGACTGACCTAGTATATTAAGTCCTGTGATCCATCTCACCTGATATCTAGTCTTTCAGTGGCTAGTAACAGATGTTTCAGGGAAAGGTGAAAGAAAAGTTAACCCTTAAAAATATTTACCCTATTTAACATTACTCTGGATGTTACTATTCATTTTAATAGCTAATCCTTGGCTTCACAAGCATCTTGCATCCACAAGTTCCATAGGTTAATTCGATGTTGCATAAAAGGGGTTTAGTCAGTTTAAAATCTTTCAAAGCCTTTTGTGTGTCCCCTTATTCTATTATAATGGATAAAAATGACTGCCCTTTTATACGTCATTTATTCTTTTATATCTGATATCCTCGCATTCATCTCGTCTATGAACTATATACTTTAAAACTGAGAAACCTTGCAATGCCTCTAATCATTGTCATTCCTGCCTCTCCCCCCCAGACCCTTTGTATTTCTGATATACCTAGAGCTGGCCAAATTTTCCAAAGTTACATTTTGATGACATTTCAAATCTTGACACGGTTTTGCATTTTCAACCAGTTCTAATTATATACTTTTTAAAATGAGGTGACCAAAACTGAACAATACACACCAGTAATTTATATAATTGGATCTGAATATTTTCAATATATACTATAATCACTTAATACAACCTAACATTGCCTGTTTTTCTGCCTCCTGCTGAGCATGGTGCAGATGTTTTCACTGGACTATTCACAGTGACAAAGATCTTTTTTCATGAGTAGCTAGAGCTCATTTAGAGCTTATTACTGAGATTAGTTCAAATTATTACTTTCAACATGAACCACCCTGCACTTAACTACACTGAATATCATTTGGCATCATGTCACCAAATTGCCTAGGTAAAATAGGCCATTCATTAATTCCTCATTGAATTCTTGTCACGACTAAACTAAATAACTTTATGCCTCCTTTTACGATGACCTAGATTGGTTCTACGAGCAGCTTCAATGGAAACAAAATTAAACTTAATTTGCCCTCTTGCCAGGTCAAACATAAAAAGGTCTGATATGTCTTCAAACCTCACAGAGCCAGACATACTAGTTTAATCCAGACATCATAAAAGCAATTAGGAACCTCTTATGATGACTGCATACATTTCTTTAGTGGCTAAGATGACATTTGCAAGCAAATGTAACATTCCTGCACAACACGGTCTACTAAAGGGAGATACCACAACCACCAACATGGTTGCTTCACAGATATAGTTCACTGTCATAATTCAAAGCCATGAGCAGCATCCTTTATGCACCCTGAAGACAATGGGTGTATGACAAGACAAAAAAGTTACCCAGCACCAAAGTGCAAGGCAGATCTTGAAGCATCAAGAATGCCTGCTGAAACAAGACACTAAGGCCTGGACTACAGTATGTGGAATTAGCCGAGTTACCTCTAAATAAAACTGGTTCCGTCCACACGACCAAACCAGCCTCCAGGGGCTATCCCAGAATGCTCCCTTGTGACCGCTCTGGACAACGCTCTGAATGCCGACGCACTAGCCAGGTAGGTAGTAAAAGCCCCGGGAACTTTTGAATTTCCTGTTTGGTCACCATCAGCACAGGTGACCATCAGCACAGTCCACCATCACAGGCAACCATGCAGTCCCGGATTTGCGGACGAGCTCCAGCATGGTCCGAACAGGAGGTACTGGATCTCACTGCATGTTGGGGAGATGTATCTGTTATGGCAGACTACGCTCTGAAAAAAGGAACGCAACTACATATGCTAAAATCTCCAGGGCCATGACAGAAAGAGGCTACTCCAGGGACACAGAACAGTGTCGTACATCAATCAAGGAGCTCAGGCAAGCATACCAAAAAGCCAGGGAGGCGAACGGGGGCTCTGGGTCACAGCCCCATACATGCCGCTTCTACCACGAGCTGCAAGCAATTACGGGGGGGGGGGGGGGGGGTGACAACACCACTACCCCACCATTGTCTCGTGGACACTTGCAAAGGGGTGGGGGGGAGGAGAGTAGCACGGAGCGAGGAGGGTGAGTTTTTGGAGGACGAAGAGGAAGAGGACAACAACAGTGCACAGACGGCAAGTGGAGAATCAGTTCTGCCCCCTAGCTAGGAACTATTCTTAACACTGGAGCCAATAGCCTCCCCCTACTCCCAAAGCATGCTCCCGGACCATGACCCTGGAGAAGGCACTTCTGGTGAGTGAGAGCTTGATCGGAGCCATGCAGTGGGGGGAAACCCAGCCATGCTGGGCTGTTCACATTTAGTTTACAGGGCTCATCCCTGCTCAGACCGTCATCAGAGCCCTGCAGTTGGGGGGGGGGGGGGCAGGGTGTTGTGTGAAGCAATCTTCCCAGAGAGCCCATGGGCTGCCTGCAAGCTGAATTCTGTTGCCTGGCGCATGTGATGGCTTACTCACACCCAAGTGGTAGGCACTTCAGTATAGGAGGCAAAATGAGACCTTGTACAGAAAGAATATGTGCTGCGTACTATGAATTGCCTGTTTCACTGAGAAACAGTGTCCCCTTTGTTCTCTAATATGTATCTTTTAAAATACTACTCTCCCTTTTTCTCCTCCTGCAGCAGGTGCAAATGTTTCAATGCAGCCCCTATCCACTCCGTCCCAGGGGCTGGTCCAGATTAGAAGGCGGAAAAAATGAACTTCGGAGAACATGTTTGCTGGGCTCATGCAGTCCTCCTGCACTGATAGGGCCCAGTTGAATGTGTGGAGGCAAACAATTGCGGAGTCGCTTAAAGCGTTACATGAATACGAAGACAGGAGGGACGCATGCGATGAGAGCAGACAGGATGCTATGGTCAAGCTCATGCGGGAACAAACTGACATGCTCCGCCGTATGGTGGATCTAATGCAGGAAAGGCAGCAAGACCACAGACTGCCCTGCAGCCCCTGAATAACCACCCTCCCTCCTCCCCAAGTTCCATAGCCTCCTCACCCAGACGCCCAAGAACACGGTGGGGGCAGGATACGGGGACCCACACAGTCAACCCCAGAGGATTGCACAAGCAGCAGAAAGCTGGCATATCCTAAATTTTGATTTGGTTTCTGGACTTGTCCTTCCCTCCTCCTCCACCCCCCTAAACCAATACTCCCCCTCCCCCATCTAGCTTCTGATTTCTCTCAATGTTTTATGCAACAAATAATAAAGAATGGTTTTTAAACAATTGTGACTTTATTTCCTTTATATATATATATATACATACATATATGCGGGTAACTAAGAGAAACAAACAACTCTCACACCGTACCCTGGCCAGTCATGAAACTGGCTTTCAAAGCTTCTCTGATGTGCAGCACGCCCTGCTGCGCTCTTCTAATCACCCTGTTGTCTGGCTAGCTGTTGCGCGTTGCAAGCTTCCACAGGGCTATGGCCATTTGCTTCTCAACTGTGAGGGCTGCTCTCATTTTAGTGTCTTTGCGCTTCAGGGCAGGGGACAGCAAGTCACTAAGTTCCATGAAAGTGGCCCTATGCATACAAAAGTTTCTCAGTCACTGGGAATCATCCCATGCCTGCAACACCATGTGGTCCCACCAGTCTGCGTTTGTTTCCCGGGCCCAGAATCGGCATTCCACAGCATGAACCTGGCCCAACAGCACCATGATCTCCCAATCGCCGCATGCCGTGCTTCTAGAAACGTCTGTGTCCATGTCCTCATCAGTATAGTAATGGCGCTGTCGTCGATTCCTCGCCCGGTTTTGCAGGTACTGCACATACTGCTGGATAATGCACGAGGTATTTACAATGGTCAAAACTGCAGCAGAGCTCTGATCGGGCTCCATGGCTATGGCGTCTGCACGGGTAATCCTGGAAAAAGGGCGTGAAATGTAGGAGAGCAGAGTGGCAGCAGAAGCTGTGCTGTTCGGTTCACAGTAGCCAAACAACGGCTGAAAAGGGTTGTCTTGTGTGGCTTTCATGGAGGTGGGAGCCCAGGACAGACAACATGGAGAAGCTCGGAAGCGTGGCAATAGCGGGAGAGCAGAGCTGGTGACAGAAGCTGTGCTGCTCGGCTCACGATGGCCGAGCACAGCTGAGTTGGAGAGGTGGACTCATAGTAGCAGGAGAGCAGTGGTGCACCATCTGCTGAAAGCAGTATGGTGTCTGCACGCCAAAAAGGTGCAAAACGATTGTCTGCCGTAGCTTTCTGACGACACACACCCAGAAACACCCGCAAGAATGATTTTGCCCCATCATGTACTGGGAGCTTAACCCAGAATTTCAATGGGCGGCGGGGACTGCAGGAACTGTGGGATAGCTACCCACAGTGCACCGCTCTGACATTCAATGCTAGCCTTGGTACTCTGGACGCAATCTGCTGGATTCATGTGCTTTAGTGGGGACACAGAAGACCGAATGTATAAAATAGCTTCCAAAAATTCGAATAGAATAATTTCTAAATAATTTCGTACTGTAGACGTACTCCAAAGCACATTAACTTAGGTGTTGATACTCTTATAAAATAGTCTCCCAACCTCTCTTCCAGAAGCTGAAATATTCAGGGACCAGTAATCTGGTAACATCAACATTTTAATGACTGCATACCATCATTTCCCTCTCCTGATA